TCCTACTAGCGTCCAGCGCTGAAGACTACTGCTAACGCTACTAACGCCCAGCGCTGAAGACTACTGCTAGCGCTACTACTACTCCTGCAGCGCTCCTCCAGAGTGCTGCTGCCGAATCCTGAAGACTACCTCCTGCCTCCTGAACTGCACGTGAAGTGCCTGGGAAGAACCTAGGAACTACCTGCAGGCTGCAGGGCGGGCCAGTCCTATATAGTGCTGGCCCATCCAGGCGGCTGCTCTTGCCAATGCCAAAACATGCCAGACCCTGGCGTTGAAGCTCAACCAGGGGTTGTCTTGAAAACAGGCCCAAAATGGCCTGTGCTAAAACCCTGGTCTGGTGCCTAAGTTTCAGGGCAGGTCGAACTCAAGAGGGCCTGAAAATGGCCCTCCGTTTCAGGCTGAAAAGACTCAGGGCCGGAAAGGCCCTGTTTTAGGCTGAAACGACACAGGGCCTGTAGGCCCTTGTTTTCAGGCTTGCAGGCTGAAAACGACATGGGCCTGGAAATGGCCCGTGCAGCCTGTTGCAGGCGCAGCATGTAACATTCAGACACAGTCTTATGAACTTTAAACCTTTTTTTTTTTTTTTTAAATGAACTTTTATCCTTTTGTTGTTCAAATGCATCCAGAGTCCAGACATTGCCAAGCTTATGTATCATGGGACGCTGGCCCTGGCTTCCGGCAGGTGCTGCTTCCCATGAATAGATTGGAGCATTAAAATAAAAAAAATATAAAAAATATAAAAAAAAACGGGCATTTAACCCAAACAGCCCAGAATAAATGATGTGTTGCATTGACTTGCGGGTGGAAAAGGAATTGGATTGATGCTCTCCAGAACGCATATAGAGCCAGAACCTCAACACTCTGTTCTTTTTTTTTCTTTTTGAGAGAGAGAACGGGTGGCGGGGGGGAGAAAAGAAGAAAAAAAAAAAACAGGAGAGAAAAATTTGCATGCCATGCAAGTTGATACAACCCATTTCCCACCGACAGAAAGAGAAGATCTCAGAAGCGTCAAACTGATCGTTTTTTTAACTTTTTCTAAACACTCTTTTGCTCGTTTTTCTTGTTTTTTTTTTGTTTAAAATCTTTTGCCCTTGGTGACATGTTTGCAAGAACCATACTGATCCTTTTTGTGTGACAAAATGAACGGCCGCTCCTGGAGCCCAGCCCGCCTCATCTAGGTTGAGTGAAGTCACCTCCAGATCGGACCGCCTCACAAGCTCACGTGTTCTAAATGGAAAAATACAGACAAAGCCAGCATAACATAACACGGTGATAACCTACATGACGCTACATCTGCTGCAACTGCAGATTGCTTAGGGAACATTCACAGACTACTTAGGGAACATTCACAGACTACTTAGGGAACATTCACAGACTACTTAGGGAACATTCACAGACTACTTAGGGAACATTCACCGCTGACCTGTGGTGGATGCTCCGAACTGTACCCCCACGATGTCGTCAGACTCAGTCGCCGAAGTCCCGTACGGTCCTTAGCCACCAGCAATGATTGCCTTTTCTCGTGACAATAAGCTATGTGCGCTTCGTCCGCAGACTGCGAAGCCTGCAACTTCGGTCAGATTTACTCAACATGGCTCGACAGTCCTTTTTTTTTCCCTCTCTCCTTTTCTTTTTTTTTTTTTTT